AATCTTCAAGCATAATAAAATAAATTTAGATCTGTAACACTTTTTTTTTTATTTATATAGTTAAATTTCTTCAACGTACAAACATAAATAATGAAAAAAATTTAAAACTTGAATTATAATAAACTGGAAGTTTGAAAAATATTTTAAATTAATTCGTTTAGTCTGCTATATGGTTATGAAAAGTAAAAAATTACAGAAGTCCTCGTGTTATTGATCGAGGGACTTAAGCGCATTTGTGTGTTAGCGATCAGCATTGGATTGTCTATTTATTTTGCGTTCATTTACAGATCATGAGAAAATTAGAAGATCATTAATTTTAGTGTAATTAACAAAAAGTTACAATGAATGCTCATATAGAAAGGATTATTATTTAACGGTCAATAAATAATTTGAAATTTTCCCGCTATAAGTTGCACTACGAAAAAATTAATTATAGTATAATTAAATAATTTGTTGCAATGAATTTCCATACAGAAAGGGTTTATTATTAAACGGTTTTTTGTAATTCAAATTTTCTAACGGTCAATAAATAATTTAAAATTTTCCCGCTATAAGTTGCACTACGAAAAAATTAATTATAGTATAATTAAATAATTTGTTGCAATGAATTTCCATACAGAAAGGGTTTATTATTAAACGGTTTTTTGTAATTCAAATTTTCTAACGGTCAATAAATAATTGAACATTTCCCGCAAAACTAAACTAGAAAATCATTGATTATAGTATAATTAACAAACAACTCCAATGAAATTCCATTTAACATGCGTTTGTCATTTAACGGTTTTTTGAAATTCAAATCTAATAAAGGATGTTAAGTTTCTGAACATTTCTTGCAAAAGGACACTAGGAAATCATTAGTTATAGTATAATTAACAAATTAGTGCAACAAAATTTCATTAAAAAAGCATTTGTCATTTAACGGTTTTCTGAAATTCAAATGTTCTAACGGTTGTTTAATATTTGAAAATTTCACACAAAAAGTTGCAATCATCACTTGTTTTTGTATATGAAATAGAAAAATCATTAATTACACTATAAATACACCTTTTTAGGACTTTTAAGCATTCGATGGGCCGATAAATCGATAGTAAAGAAGCTATTAAAGCAAACCCCAGCTCTCTACGAAGTCTGGATAAAAAGTTTTTTTCAGACGAACGAACAAAGTGAGTTATTACGCTACCTTTTCGAAACAAGTTTCAAAAATGCGCTAAAAAGGACAAATTCTGCAATTTTGTATCTAATCACATATACTTTACAAGCACTAGCAGAAATCAGTTTGGTATATTACATTTTTTTTTCCTTAGTGAACTCAAGTCGGTTTCAAGTCGACTAAAGTGAACATGAAAAAATCAACTCGGTTAAAAGTCGACTCGAGTGAACACGAAAAAATCAAGTCGGTTGCAAGTCGACTAAAGTGAACACGAAAATATCAACTCGGTTAAAAGTCGACTCGAGTGAACACGAAAAAAATGAGTTCACTCGAGCTGACTTAAAACCGATTGAAATTTTAGTGAAGTGAAGTGAAGTGAAACGACTTCACTTCACCAACTTCGACCTCTGAGTGGCATTAAACTAAATTGAAAGGTTTTTGAATTTAACACTTTCAAATACAAACATAGTACTTTACATAAGTATAAGGTGTTCTTGCAGCTGCTTTAGTAATCCAATAATAATACTTATCAAAAGTTATTCAACACATTAATATGCATGGAAGTAAATTGTAACTGGACACAAAGAGAATGTTGTATGAAATACAAAAATTAAAGGATATCATAATTTCAATAGATTTAAGTAAAACAAAATGACAAAATAAAAGTAAGATGACACGGTTTAGAAAGTAAGCTGCGGCTATTGTTTAATATCTATCAATTCATTTGAATATTGCAACAATCAATTTATGTTGAAAGAAATATTCAGACATTTTGAAAGTTTTTTCTCTTTTACTTTTGTGTTTATTCGATAATAACAATGTGATTTGTAGGAAAAAATTCTCTATTGTTACAGCACAAAAATAGAAATTTGCATACCTAGCTTAATTTTTTTTTTTTTTTTGGAATTCATATGTCTAGCTTCCTCTATTAATAATGCTAGAAAATATTTTCTAAAGGCGGTTAATTAATGCAATTAAAAGTTCAACGTGCGAGAGTAAGATTAATTATACATATATTTTTTTAAACGTCAACAAATTCGATACTTAGCTTTGAAAAAAAAAAAATCAGATTGTAAACTGATTAATTTTTTAAGGTTCTAAATTGACTGAAATTTCATTTATATGCTTAATCTGTAATAAATGTGCAGCAGTATTGAATCCAACAAAAACAAGATGCAAAAATTTCACAAAATTAAAAATGCAAGGATTAAATACTGGGCATCCTTGATTTGAGTAGGTTCTATTTGAATAAATCGAGTTGAGTAATCAAAATTAACGAATAGAAAATTTAAAATATTTTTTTTACCAACATTTTTCATACAAAAAGTTAAAAACTTCCCGTACTTTATAAGTCTTATTAAATTGCAATATTTCGGAGGATAAGTACCTTATCAGTCATCTGGCAGTAGTTGTAAAAGAGATTTGTCTTATGGTGTATGAATAAAGGAAAAATGAGAAGCATAAAGTCATTAGCAGTTTTAAGTGTAACCCTCTTTGCACAATACAGAAGCAATACTAACAACAATGGCATAGAAAATAAAGTGCATGGTAATAAAAAAACTTTATTTCAAAGCGATAATGAGTTTACGATTCGATCTCTTATGGAACGTCAGAGATTGTGACAAATTGAATTTTATTTATGTCTCTTTATCTGAGTAGGGAAGCGAGTTTAAGCACTATTCATTTAGCCCCTATTTCACCCGAAGACAAAATTGGTATAAGTGTATGTATGTTGCTTATAATTTTCAATAAATTGTGTTGGTGTACCGAGTAAAATTATTATAATTCTAGAATTTTAAATTGTAAAAAAGTTATTATAATATGCGTGCATTGCATGAGTGAGCCTTGAGTCAAACATCAACCCCTCTTTATTTATACCATGACATAATGCAAGTAACGAAAACATTTTTTGAATTGCCTTAAGCGCTTAATAAGTTTAACTGAAATATTCAAAAAAAATTATTAGACTAAGACAAAGTGGAATCAAGTACCTCAAAAAGAAGTGCTCAAAATTATTTTAAAGTTGCGCACACGAGTCACCCTTGTTTTTCAAATGACACTTCCTCTTTATGTACAAGTGAAGATTTAAAGCAGGAAAATAGGACAACTTTGAAACAACCGAAGTAAAAATTTTCAGAGCATAAAAAAAAAATTCGATTCTCGGAAAGAATGCTGAAATTTTTTTCTATAAGTACGTTATTTATAAATTGTCATTAATTTTTATGATGAGGTAGCTTCTCATATATAACGAAATTAGATTTTTCTTCCATCCCTTTTCTCCTACTGTGATATTAACATTAATATTAAATTTTAACACTCTATTTGTCTTTATGGTACAAATACGTTAGGATGGTACAAAAAGTATGAGATGGCAATAAATGCTCAACAAACGATGAGAAGAAATGCTAATAAATTAATAAATGAAGACAAAATTACCATTATTATCAGATTAACATTAGTAAGGTGTTTTAAATTAAAACTTCGTCAAGATTTTTGAAATTTGATACTTTAAAACCAGTTTGGGTAGTTTAGGATGATAAGACTAATCATGCGAAACAAGGAGCAAATTACATTTTATTAGTAAATTGATATTGTTAATTAAAACCTTCTGTTGCAACTTTCATTTCAATTTAAGAATAAAATTCTATTTAATCCTCATTTTAATAACAAATTATGCGTTTCATTTAGTATAGAAGGAGAAAACAAAATATCTTCTCATCCTAAAAAAGCCTACGTCACTTCAATGAGGACAATTTTGTGAGGAATTGGATTAAAAGCTTCAAAATGAGAAGAAAAAGTAAAATTCTTAAGGTTTTCCACTTTACGATGATAAAGAACAAAAAGAAGAAAACTATCTTGACAGAGCGAAAAGTTTTAATGAAAAATTCCATTTAACATTTTCCCTCTGAATAGAGTTTTTATCGTTTTCAATCTAAATACCATCGTAGTTTGACGTGAATAAGTAGAGAAGAATGTGTGTAATATAAAGAAGAGGCATGAATGATGACGATAGAATGAGATCAAGGTGATTGTTTTTTCAATCTTCTTGGTGCTTACATACTATAGCTGTTTATATTTTTTTCCGTCTTTAGAAGTAAGTGAAATGGCTAAATCTGAGGTAGATTTAAGGATGTAAGATAATAAATTAATTTACAATTTCCTAAATATCATCAAAAGGGAGAAAATAATAAACTGAAACTTCAAAAAAAAGTTGAAATGCTGAAAGAAAAGGAAGTTACAATGAATCAGCTCCTTGTTGTCATGAACGCTCTAAATTCAGAATATTTATCAACGTTTTGATCACCAATAACTGCTATGACAGAGTAAAAATAAACCGATAAGTCTTTTGGAAACAAGCTTATAAAAAAGAAGGAAAAGTGAAATGGTTTTGAGGACAAAAAAAAAAGGATTAAATACAAAACTTAATGAAATGTCATTAAACGAATGAATCTTTATAAACCGGAAAAAGAAAATTGTAAAACTTTTTTTATTACTTGGAAGAGATTGCCAAGATATTAATTCCAACATTGTGACTCTGACTCTTTTATTTGTGACATTTTATCAACAAAAAAGTTGGAAAGAAGAAAGATTTATTATCAACTTAAAGTCATTGTTGATTTGAGAAAATAAGGATTAGGAATGACCCTTGATATTATGACTATTTGCTTTGTGAATTTAATAAAATGCATGGAAACATATCCTTTTCAAGAAAACATACTTTATCAACAAGAATCGAATTAGATATTCATGTTTTGATGCATAAAACATTCAGTCATAGAAAAATCACTTAATGCTTTTTGCAGCCTTTTATCTCATTTAATATTTATTTTTTTTTCTTTTTTTATTTTAGTTTCCTTCACAACAGAGGGCAGAAAAAGGAATGTCATAAATCATAGCAGTAACAAGAAGTCACCAGAACAAAACTTTCAAATTTACAATGAATGGAGAAAAAGTTCTCATGAAGAAACAATAAAAATGTTGCGGTTATAAATTGAATGGTTGGCAATTTGAGGCTTCATAGTAGTAGCAGAGAAATTTTTATATGCATTTTTTAAGCCAAAATTGTCAGTGCCATTTGATTAAATTCTCTTAACTAATCCACACATATACACGAAATATAAAAGGAGAGCATATTTCACACTTTTAACATTCACTCGACCGAATGTATCGTCATCAAGTGCAATATTGTATGAGAAATAAAAAAGAAGAAAATGCCAGTCACGTATAAATATCGTTCTGGCAACGGTCCAATAAAATTGTTAATCACCAATCTATTTGCATTGATAATCATATTATCAACCTGTGTTATACATCATGCCTCATCGTATTTAGTTATAATTGATGAACAAACTCCCGCAAATACAATAATTTTTAATGCATCAGTTAATAAACTTGGCTCTGACCGGCACTACAAAATAAATACAGATAAGAATGGCGGTTACGTTCATCGACTATTTCACATAAATTCTAAAAATGGACAAATAAAATTACGAAAACAACTCAAATGTGACGGCAATGAATATCCGAATTTATTTACATTTTATACGGATTCGGTGTCGAATCATTTGAGGACAGTAAATTACTATGGCTTGCCAGTTAGGATATTTATAAATGGTATAAATTGCAATGATGATGGCAATAATCATGAAATGTATTCTCATTATGAGAATGATGACGATGATAGTTCTATATTTCCAAGCTTTTTGAGACGTAAAAGAACTTTAGATGAAGATGTGAACGATGATATTGCTGAAAATATTGATATGCAGCAACGAATATTTCGAGTAAATAATTTTCATCATAATCTTCGAGATTATCCATTCATATTTCCTCATAATGAGACTCATACAGATTACAAGAATTTTCAAGAAGGCGACATTTTGTTTGATTCAGTGGAAAATAATTTCCGACGCCACTTGATACTTAATCGCAAAAGACGATTTGTGATAAAAAATGAGGATAGATTTCATATGAAAATATCTGATGCAAAACAGTGGATATCTGAAACTTATGCATCATATGCGATTCACTCAACTGACAAATTTGATAAAATTTGCTTGAAGAAATCACAAGTCATTAATAATCTAAATGCTTTCTTGCCAAAAACAATACAGCAACATTGCAAAGCAACGTTCTTAGATGTAAGGGATGAAAGATTTAAAATCGAACGACAAAATGGTGATATGGTTGCAAGTCGCGACTTTTGTATTTATGAACCATCTTGGTCAGTTACGATTATTTTTTCAACCAAATGCACAAAACCAGAGATTCTTGATGCTGAACATCGTCTTAAAATAATGTACCATCATCAAGAATTAAATGATACCGACATTGCCAGAAGAATAAAACGTGAATTAAAAAATCAAAACCCTTCATTTGAACAACAGCATTATATTGCAACTGTACTTGAAGAACAACTTTCAGGTGTCAAAGTAACAACTGTGCAAGCACGTGATCCCGAGGATTCTCCTGTTGTATACTCAATGATATCACCATCAGATTCTCGTTCACAAACAATGTTTAAAATAGATTCAAAATCTGGAATTGTGACAACATCAGCTACTTTAGATCGCGAATTAATCAGTATGCATTATTTCCGAGTCATTGCAACAGATGACAGTTATCCACCAAGAACTGGGACAGCAATTCTTCAAATTAACGTTCTAGATTGTAATGATCATCCACCGAAATTTGAAACCGAACAGTTTGACACTACAGTAAGCGAGGGAGTATCAATAGGTACTACTGTTCTTACTTTACGTGCTACAGATCTTGATAGTGGTAAAAATTCTGAAATTGAATATCATATTGATAGTGTGTCAGGTGGTGGATTAACTTCAGCTGAACATGATGCACAGACATTTAAGATTGATGGACGAACAGGAATTATAACGACTCGAAGTCAACTTGATCGTGAAACCTCTGAAGTTTACACACTCATTGTGACGGCAAATGATCTTGCATCGCCAATAAGTGAGAGAAAAACCGCAACAGCATCTGTTGTGATTCGCATAGCCGACGAAAACGATCATTATCCACAATTTAGTGAGAGACATTATACAGTTGATGTGTCAGAAGACGATTCAAATGGAAATAATGTAATTGCACATATACAGGCAACGGATGCAGATAAAGGGAACAATGCAGCAATTCGATATTCAATCGTTGGCGGTAATCCAAAATCAGAATTTGCAATTGACTCTATGAGTGGTGAGGTGACGCTAACAAAACCATTAGATTATGAAACAATGAAAAGTTATAGACTTGTCGTGCGTGCTCAAGATGGTGGAACTCCACCAAAAACAAATACGACAACATTATCAGTTAACGTAATCGATGCTAATGACAATGCACCGAGATTTTATTCATCACAGATACAAGAAACTGTACTTGAAAGTGTCTCTGTTGGGCATAATATTGTAAGAGTACAAGCTTATGATTCTGATGAAGGTGCAAATTCGGAAATAACATATAGCATAACAGAACGTGATGGAAATTTCCCATTTGCCGTTGATACTCGAACGGGTCAAATTCATACAACAAAACCGCTAGATAGAGAAGAAAAACATCGATACTCATTCCAAGTAGTAGCTCTTGATGGAGGCATTCCACCAAAATCGGGATCTACCACAATACAAATTACAGTACAAGATGTTAATGATAATAATCCAATGTTTAATCCAAAATATTATGAAGCTATAATATCGGAAGATCAAAAACCAGGTACACCAGTAACGACTGTATCAGCCACTGATCCGGATGAGGATTCTCGACTTCATTATGATATAAAATCAGGAAATTTAAGAAACCGTTTTTCAATTTCAACTCAAAATGGCCTTGGATTGATTACGATTGCACAACCTTTAGATTACAAACTTGAAAAGCGTTTCATTTTGACTGTAACAGCTACAGATTCTGGTGGAAAAATTGATACAGCAACAGTTAATATTAATATAACAGATGCAAATAATTTTCCACCCGTTTTTGAAAATGCACCATATACAGCATCAGTTCTAGAAGATGCTCCAATTGGAACTACTGTTTTGATTGTTACTGCAACTGATGCTGATGTCGGTATAAATGCTCAAATCACATATTCTATGTCAAATGATGAAACGTCAACAGGCATGAGTGCCATTGAGACTTTTGCAATCAATCCACAAACAGGTGCAATAACAACTAAAACTCCATTAGATCGAGAGACAACAAGTGGTTATTCACTGACGGTTACAGCAAAAGATGGTGGGAATCCATCACATAGCGAGACGACAATTGTAGAAATTTCGGTTGTTGATGTTAATGACAATAAGCCAGAATTTAATGCTCCAATTTATCATTCTACAATATCCGAGGATGCTTTAATAGGAACATCTGTTATTCAAGTTTCAGCATCTGATAGAGATGAAGAGGATAATCGATTATTAAAATACATGTTGAGTGACAAAGATGTTAAGGATGGTTCATTTATTATTGATTCTTCTTCAGGCGTAATAAGAACGAATCGTGGATTAGATCGTGAAACTATTGCTGTATATCATTTGAATGTCATCGCAGTTGATAAAGGTTCACCGCCATTAAGCTCAACGGTAGAAGTTCAAGTAAAATTAGATGACGTCAATGATTCTCCTCCTACATTTCCATCAGACAGAATAAAATTTTATATAAAAGAAAATTCACCAATTGGAAGCACGGTTGGATTAATTAAAGCTGAAGATCCTGACGAAGGTATAAATGCTGAAGTTCATTATGCCATTTTAAGTGGACAAGACGCAAGCTCATTTCATTTAATAACAAAACCTGGTGTAAATGGAGCAAGAATTATAACAAATGTTGATCTCGATTATGAATCTCCTCAAAAACGTTTCGAACTTGTCATTCGAGCATCATCACCGCCATTGAGAAATGATGTTCATGTAGAAATTCTCGTAACGGATGCGAATGATAATCAACCAGTTTTAAAAGACTTTCACGTCATATTTAATAATTTCCGTGATCATTTCCCAAGTGGGATTATTGGACGCGTGCCTGCATTTGATGCCGACGTTAATGATAATTTAACATATAGAATCTTGTCTGGAAATAATGCTAATTTAATCAGACTCAATCCAAACACGGGGCAAATTACACTAAGTCCACAACTTAACACAAATGTACCTAAATCAGCAACCATGGAAGTATCTGTAAACGATGGAATTAATGAAATTAAAGCTTCAATGCATCTTATTGTACGACTTGTTTCCGATGATATGCTTTTTAACTCTGTTACAATTCGATTGAATGAGATGACAGCTGAAGCCTTTTTATCACCTCTCTTAAACTACTTCCTTGATGGATTGGCGGCTGTTATTCCATGTCCACGTGAAAATATTTATATGTTTTCAATACAAGAAGATACAGATGTAGTAGCACGTGTTTTGAATATCAGTTTTGCAGCTCGAAGACCAGATGTAGCGCATGAAGAGTTCTACTCAACACAATATCTTCAAGAACGTGTATATCTTAATAGAGCAATTTTAGCACGCCTTGCAAATGTTGAGGTTCTTCCATTTGATGATAATTTATGCGTTCGCGAGCCATGCTTAAATTTTGAACAATGTCTAACAGTTTCGAAATTCGGAAATGCAACAGATTTTACTCATAGTGACACTGTTTTATTCCGATCAATTCAACCTGTCAACACATTTGCATGTAATTGTCCAGAAGGATTCACTGGCGGAACAGAAGCCTATTTATGTGATTCAGAAGTGAATTTGTGCTATTCTGATCCATGTCAAAATGGAGGAACATGTAAGCAAAAGGAAAACGGTTATACATGCATTTGTAAAAATGAATTTACTGGAAATAACTGTGAGAAAAAATTAAAGGCTGCGCCAACATGCTTCAATGAGATCTGTGAAAGTGGCTATTCATGTTCAAATGCATCACCCTATGGCGAAAATTTCAATCTTCCATTCACACCAACTTGTGAATTAAAAACTCGTTCGTTCTCATCAAATTCCTTCTTGACTTTCGACAGTCTAAAGCAACGTCATAGATTTAATATTAAACTTAAATTTGCAACGATTAATGACAATGGTTTATTATTGTACAATGGACGATATAATGATCTACATGATTTTATTGCTCTCGAATTGATTGACGGTCGTGCGACATTCTCATTTTCATTGGGCGATAAAATTCAAAAAGTTTTTGTAACACGTAAAAATAAATTGTCAGATGGTGAATGGCATACAGTTGAAATTATATACTTTAATCGTACCGCTACTCTCATTATTGATGAATGTGATGTTGCTTTAGCGCTGAGTGGAAATCTTGGCGAAAAATGGTCATGTGCAAATCAAACAACACTTGAGTTGGACAAAAAATGTTCATTATTTGCTGAAAACTGTCATCGTTTGTTGGACTTGACTGGTCCACTTCAACTGGGAGGACTTCCTCGTATTCCTGCTCATTTTCAGATTCAATCACAAGATTACGTCGGTTGCATATCTGATTTAGAAATTGACTATAAATTTATTGATATGAACTCATTTGTTGCCGATAATGGAACAGTTTCTGGTTGCCCCGAGAAAAAATCTCTTTGTAGCACCAATAGTCCATGTTTCAACGGCGCAACATGCCATGATGGATGGAATGCATTTACTTGCAAATGTCGCGATAATTTTACTGGAAATGTATGTCAGGAAAATGTTGAATCATCATGGAGATTTGCTGGCAATGGTTATGTCAGCTTCAATGCAATCGTTAAGCACATTCAGCTTCCATGGTTGAATGCATTATCAGTTCGTACACGACAGAGAGACGCCTTTCTTTTGCAAATAGTTGTTGATCAAAATAGTTCTGCTATTATTAGTTTAAAGAATGGAGTTCTTTATTATACATTTGATTCGGAATCGATGTATTTACCAGGAAGCTTCCTTTCAGATGGAGAATGGCATAGAATTGAAGTAAAATGGTTGGGAGCTGACATTTCACTAGATATGGATTACGGACAAAGACAAACATTACTACCAACTGTGAAAAAAGTTCAAGGATTATATGCTGGAATAGTTGTAATTGGAAGTCCTGATAAATCTATTGGTATGTACAAGCATGAGAAATAATTTTTCATTTTCTTGTTTAATTTAAATTTTTTTTATTTTATAAAATAGGAAACATTCAAGAATATGATTCACTCGATGGATGCATTCAAGATGTCCGTATCGGAACGCAACAATCTATTATTGATAGACCGACTAGAAAAGAAAATGTTCAAAAAGGATGTCCTTCTCATGCTGAATGCTCTGATAACTGCCCAATTCATTCTGAATGTGTTTTATCATGGGATGAAGCTCATTGTGAATGTAATTCTGGATATGTGGGAACAGATTGCGTGCCAATATGCACAGTTGGACCTTGTGCTGATGCTGGAATATGTCGTGTTGAAAACAACTTAAAGAAAGGTTACTTTTGTGAATGTAATAGTACAATTTATTCTGGAGAATACTGTGAAATTCAAGAGCAAAAACCATGCCCAGGAGGATGGTGGGGTGAGAAAAGTTGTGGACCATGTAAATGTGATGTTAAGCGTGGTTATCATCCTGATTGTGACAAACAAAATGGTCAATGCCGTTGTCGCGATAATCATTATCAACCTCTCAATGAAACAGCATGCATTCCATGTGATTGTTATTATGAAGGCTCTATTAGTGGCTCATGCAATAAACTCACAGGACAATGTGAATGTCGTGAAGGTGTTATTGGACGTCGATGTGATTCATGTTCAAATTCATATGCAGAAGTTACACCCCATGGCTGTGAAGTAGTTTACGATGGATGTCCAAAATCATTTTCTGCTGGTGTATGGTGGCCTAGAACATCGTTTGGTCAGTCAGCAATAGAAAATTGTCCACCCAAATCTCGTGGTAAAGGCATTCGAACATGTGATGAAACCTCCGGTGGTTGGGGTAATGCAAACATGTTTAACTGTACATCTGATCTTTTTTGGGATTTGAGACGGCAATTGTCATCAATGGAGCAGGGTGAATTGCAATTAAATACATTTGTGTCAGTAAAAATGGCTACAGATCTGCAGCATGCAACTTCCACAATCGGCGGTAGTAAAAATAAAAAGGTAATCGATGATAAATTCAAGAAATTCTCACTAGAGAATTCTTTTATGTCACGCAACAGAATTAGAAGTAATGAAATAGACATAGATACTTATATTGACACTGAAAATTTGTTGAAACATGAACATCTGTATGGAGCTGATCTTTTAGTAACTGAAGGAATTCTCCATGAACTTATTGGATATGAAATCATGCAAAGCGGACTTGATTTAAGTCATAGCCAAGATAAAGATTATATCAGAAATTTGGTAGAGGCAGCAAGTATAATTTTGGATGCAAAATATTCAAACGAATGGAAACGATTAAAAGAATTGACAACACGTGGACCAAACGACCTTATTGATGCATTCAATAAGTATCTTGTTGTGTTAGCTAGATCTCAACACGACACATATACAACACCATTTGAAATAGTTCATAATAATATGGCACTGGGGCTTGATATTGTTACAGCTGAGTCATTATTTGGCTACGAGCCACCATTAATAAATAAGAATCGTAACGGAAAGGCCAATCAGTATACAACAGAAAGTGTCATAATTCCTGACACAAGTGCTTTCTTACAACATTCATCTAAGCAACGTATCCCGACAATTTCGTTTCCAAAGTATAATAATTATATGCAAGACAAAACGAAATTTGATAGATATTCAAAAGTTTTAGTGCCACTTGACATGCTTGGCATTCTTCCACCAGAGAAAGGCGAAGTATCATATGCCATTAAAAATTATCGTGCAATCATTGGCTATACTCAATATAAAGATATTGGTGAACTATTTCCGATGGTCTTTGATGATACTGTCACAAGGCGATATGGAGTTGATGTAGAAATTGCTACATCCGTTTTATCACTTACAATTCTCGTCCCATCTGTGGGAAATGATGATAAGCAGATGGAAAGAATAAAACAAATAGACCAACATTCTGAAAATCGTATTGATGAAAATTTCCCACCCGAAAATATCAAATATCCTGATGATATCAAAATAATTGTACATGATATGACAGACCATGATGATGCCGGTCGAGAAATGAAAATTCATGTCAATGGTGATGACATATTTAATCCAAACTTTGATTCAGCCGAAGATGTTGTGATGAGGAATCATGAAGGTTTGTTAACTTTAAATAATACATTTTTATTTTCTTTTTATTAAAATTCATTATTCCACAGACGAATCTCAATCAAAAAAACTTACTAAACGTGATATAGTAAATCGTGATTCTAATTCCGATGCTGAAACAATTGAAGACAAGATAACTTATAGATCACTCGGTTCACCTCATCTCTCGCAACCGATTCGCGTTCAAATGTGGTTAAATATTGAAAAGCTGCGATTTAGTTCTCGCCTCAATCCACAGTGTGTAAGATGGCATACATTCTACAATCAATGGACTAGAATCGGATGTCATACTGAGATGCCAGATTATGAAAAAGTACAAGAAGATAGAAATGGATTGATACTTATTAATTGCACATGCACTCACGTTTCAAGTTATGCTGTATTGATTGATGTCATTGACCCAGAAGATATTCCCGAGCCTTCATTACTTGTGCAAATTACTTCACTTTCTGCATTTGTTGTTTCGCTTCCAATTCTATTTTGTGTGATAATTGCATTGGCTTTGTTACGTGGCTTGCAGACAAACTCAAATACAATTCATCAGAATCTTGTTTTCTGTATTTTTGTTGCTGAACTGCTATTCTTCGTGGCATGGCAAGCTCGTAGAAGTCTGGTAGAAAACGATGTAAGTATATCCATTTAATATTCCCATAAATTTTCATTAAAAATTTCTGTACTTAAACCATTTAGTTCCCGTGTAAGCTCATTGCAATCGGTTTACATTACGCATGGCTTGCAGCATTTGCATGGACAACAGTCGACTGTATTCATCTGTATAGAATGTTGACAGAAATGCGCGATATTAATCATGGTCCAATGGGATTTTACTTTACTGTTGGATATGGTGCACCAGCTCTGCTCGTCGGACTCTCGGTAGGCGTTCGTGTACATGAATATGGAAACAACATGTTGTGAGTATATCTTAACAATATCCTAAGATTTTATTTAATTAAAAAATACATTTTTTTCAGTTGCTGGTTATCAGTCTACGAATCAGTTATTTGGTGGCTTGTTGCTCCAATAGTATCCATGTGTATAGTTAATTTAATGGTTCTATTTATATCCGTAAAAGCAGCATTTACACTTAAAGATCATGTTCTTGGATTTGGAAATTTGAGAACGCTTTTGTGGCTCTCAGTCGTATCACTTCCCTTAATGGGTATCATGTGGGTTCTCTCTATTCTTTCGGCATCAGAAAGTGTTGAAATTTACAATCTTGCATTATCAGCATGTGTTCTTGTTCATGCAATTTTCTCAATAATTGGATATTGCATAATCAATAAACGTGTGAGAGAAAATCTTCATAATACATTTATGAGGTGCATGGGAAAGAAAGTGCCACTTCTTGATTCTTCTCTGGCTGTAAGTAGCAGTAATTCTGGAAATAGAACTCCAGGATTTAATGGAACTTATGAAACATCAAGAAGAAATATTGGAATTAGTGCATCGAGTACAACTTCAAGAAGTACAGCAAAAACAAGCTCTAGTCCTTACAGAAGTGATGGCCAATTAAGGCATACTTCAACGTCAACATCAAATTACAATAGCGATGTCCCATCATTTATGAAGAATTACGATGGTAAAAAGAAACGAAAACATAGAAAAGATTCAGATTCTGGATCTGAAACAGATGGGCGAAGTATGGAACTTGCGTCTAGTCATTCAAGTGACGATGATGAATCAAGAGCTGGTAAAAGCAGCACAACCAATTCTCATCATCGGAGCAAATGTGTGGTAGCAGTACCGTCATATTTACCAAACATTACTGAGCATGTAGCAACTACACCACCTGAATTGCATGTTGTACAAAGTCCACAACTTTTTCCAAATTCCAAAGGTTCACTGAATGGGAGATGGTCAAGTCAAGCACCTGAATCATTCCTTCCAACACCAAATATTGGTCGATGGTCACAAGAGACTGGATCAGACAATGAAATTCATTCGCATAAAACAAATTCGCCAAATCCTCTACCCAATCCAGACATAACTGATACCTCATATTTACAGCAACATCAAAATAAAATGAATTTACCTCCTTCAATTCTAGAGAACATACATGAAAATTACATTCCACCTACAGATCCAGTTATTTATAGTGCTGAACTTTATAAAAAAGAACATTATGATAATTATCAAACTGACTATCAGACAAATACTCTTCCATATCATCCAAATGATAAAGAATTTTCTAACAGCTATACTGTAGGTCATATGAGAATGGCCTATCCAAATGACAACGGATTTTTGTACGAAAAAAGTCGTACTTTAGGATATCTAGGATCAAAAACGTCATCTCCTTACATGAGCAAAGAAAGAATTGATGGTTACAGTCCACAATCATTTTCAACCTTTAAATCAAATGGAAACGGAAATACAAACATATATGGAAACATGACAAATACACAAAGTGTTCAGTCATTAATTCGAAATGATTATCAAGTAATAATATAGCACGGGATGTGTTAAAAATCTTTAAAAATTAATCTTATTTTATTTATTAACAGAGACAATCTGACTATCATTCTGACAGAAATTCTGAAGGTTCCGATAAGAACAATCCATATAATTTTCCATACACCGCCGAAGAAGATCATACTGGAATGAGACAGCACATGCAAGCACATTACGTCAATGATATAAATAATCCTAGTCCAATAAACATGAGTAGAATGTCATCTAGACATGGTTCGAGATCTGGATCTCCACCAATGCCTCATTTACCTCATGTTTCACAACTAACGGGAATCAATGATAGTAGCGAGTAAGTTAACTTTGGAATATTTTTGAATACACTAACTCAAAAGTAATTTCTTTCGCCTTTTTCTACATTTTCACAACTCTACACCTGATGATACTTTAAGATGGTTAATGAGCTGGCAGAAGAAGAATAAACGTCATAATGTCTAATTTTCTATTTGTTTCTTAAACTTTTTTCATCACAATTCTCTTAATCGTTTGACATGACATGATTAATTGTCATGAAAAATTAATTTTCTTCTTCATAAAATCTTCAGCTCCAAGGTAAAATGGAGTGATTTGCTTTATTTATTTCGAGCATGATGCGTGTAATTTTTTATCTTCTTCTTATTATTTATTTCAAGTAACCATTTTTATGCTTTTTACATCCTTTTAATAACATTATTTTCTATTTTTCAATTTTGCATGTCAATTTTTCAAACTCATTGAAATTTAACTTGTTTGCTGTAATTTATTAGATGTATATTCTCAAATTAGACTTTATAATATCCACATTTACAAAATTTTTTTTAAAGGAGGAGTACAGATGCTGAAACGAGAGTCTAAACAACCAAAGTCCCCATCACCTGTTCATATTTATTAAATTATTGGATAAGATAAGAAAAGATTTAAAAGATTTTAATTTTAAAAAAAAAAATATCTGCAAAGATAGAAAAGACGAAAGGCAAAAATTGACTGATTTTCAAATAAAGTCTAGGAAAAATAGAATTTAATTTTAAATAGCTTAAACTTGAGAAATAATGATTTCCTTTGTACATTTTATAAGCCATAATACTCATTTATTGGAATTTTTTAAGAGTAAGGAAGAAACTTATTTTCAGTAACAAATTTCAAGTCTTGATTATAACAGAAGCGGAAAATATACTCGCCATGTACAAAAATAAAAAAAAAACTTTAATTTTAATGAAACTCTCTTTTAAGCAAAGGAAAACTGACCATTAAAAAATATTTGCATTTACAATAATTATTGAATGATTATAAAATTGTAACACATAGAAACTTAAGAAATGAAATGAAAATTTGATCTCATTTAAAAGAAATTTGCATGAAAATATTTGCATGTAAATTAAATTAAGCCTGACAAAGAAGTTATTTTAGAATAATTAAAATCTAATGGTAAAAAAAAGAAGATAAATTTGAGTGCCTAAAGAATTTTACTCTCTTGAACAATTTTTACAAGTTGAGATATAAGAAAAATTGGATTAAAACAGAGTTGAAAATGTTGAGAAAAATTGGAAATGCTTTGTAAAAAAAATTTGTTCTTTTGAAATTTCGAGCTTCTTAGAAAATTTTTATTTTGGGATGAATTAAGATTTACAGCAGAATTTAAACAAAATTTGGGTCTTTTTTGAAGTCCAAACAGTAAAATGATCTATTTAATGCTGATATTTATTAAATTTTGATAATTTTAAGCAGTAAATACATTTCGTTATTTTGGTTTGCAAATTTTTCAGGTAATCTTTTACGCAGGATGTTTAATGCAATAACATATATCTATAAAATATGTAAATGTCTAATGTATCTCTTATTTTGTATCATAAAATCCTTAATTCAAATAAAAGAAAATATATACCAATGAAAAATTGACAGGAGTGTTTTGATAGAACTTTTCAAATGTTCCATAAACATTTGTACATTTCCTACACTTTACAGACTCACAAAAGCATTGAAACAGCAAACATTGGAATAGGTCAACAAAATCAATGCTTGATCTTTTAATGTTAATTGTTTCTTAATTTTTTAAAGGGCTTAGCCGTTTGGTCTTTGAGTATCAGAAATCAAATCCGATGTTATGTGTCTTTTTCTTTTTTCCTAGACATTTTAACTAATATTTTAATATTCTATCCTGTAAAACTTCCGAAAATAAATAGTTTGATATATAGACAGGAAGTGCTGAAGGATAAAATTCTATAATTAAGTCAAAAAACGCAAACCAATCATGATTTCTGACACTAAATTTAGATGACCGTTCAAAACACCTAAAGTTTTTTGCCTCTAAACATTTCAAATTTATAAAACCTAAATTTTCTGCATCTAGAGTTTTTAATCTCTAGATACATTTGTATATAGGTGTTAAAAACTGCACGTATATAGAGATTAAAAACTCGAATTGCAGAAAATTAATCCTCGGATTTAAATTTAAGCTTTTTGCTGGATTAACCAATTTTGATCATTTAAACGGTTTTGAGTATGTTATTGACAAGACTAATAACAATTCTATCTATAAAATTATGGACAATTCTATCGATTGACGTTTTCAAAAAATTCGTCATAAAAAAACATTATTTATCTTTATTAAGCTATCTAGTCGTTCTTAGCACCAAATATACTTATGTATGACGATAAATTATATCCTTTTGTTGCGGTTGGTTCTTTCTACATGCCTTCTTGTGTCATTAAGAGAATGACAGTTAATAATTTAAATATTCATTTCTTTTAGTCAATTTGTTAAAATACCTCAAAACTAATTTACAGGCTAGTTATTTACACACTTAAAGTAACTTAAGCCTAATTCATGCCTTAATTCTAGCTAAGTCAACATTTAAGTACATATGTAACGAACTTTTGTATTTGAATTGTTTGCCGCACTTTGTACTGCATTTTGCTCGAGCGAATTCGCTCGTAATTGCACACTTTAAATTAAATAAAAGATATAACACTTAAATTAAACGCAAATAAACAGTAATTATAATTAAAGGAAAGACATAACGACACTTTAGGACATTTTTATATATGGAAATTCATTGCTACAAATTATTTAATTATCCTATAATTAATATTTTCGTAGTGCAACTTTAAGCGTGAAAAATTTCAAATTTTTTATTGACCGTTAAATAACAAAACCTTTCTATATAAGCATTCATTGTAATTATTTGCTGATTGCATTAAAATTATGATCTTCTAATCTTCTAATGATCTGTAAATGAACGCAAAATAAATAGACAATCAAATGCTGATCGCTAACACAAAAATGCGCTTAAGTCCCTCGATCAATAACACGAGGACTTCTGTAATTTTTTTTTTGAAAATAGCCTACTATGATCGAAACCAAAAATGCTTTAAATTGCATTTTTAAACATATCTAGGTATTATAAATGATAAAGAATGCTAATATAGTTATAAAATCGATATTTTTTTAAAAATAGCCTACTATGATCGAAACCAAAAATGCTTTAAATTGCATTTTGAAACATATCTAGGTATTATAAACGATAAAGAATGCTAATAAAGATATAAAATCGATATTTTTTTGAAAAAAGCCTACTATGATCCAAACCAAAAATGCTTTAAATTGCATTTTAAAACATATCTAGGTATTATAAATGATAAAGAATTCTAATATAGATATAAAATCGATATTTTTTTGAAAAAAGCCTACTATGATCGAAACCAAAAATGCTTTAAATTGCATTTTAAAACATATCTAGGTATTATAAATGATAAAGAATGATAATATAGATATAAAATTGATATTTTTTTGAAAATAGCCTACTATGATCGAAACCAAAAATGCTTCAAATTGCATTTTAAAACATATCTCGGTATTATAAATGATTAAGAATGCTAATAAAGATATAAAATCGATATTTTTTTGAAAATAGCCAACTGTGATCCAAACCAAAAATGCTTTAAATTGCATTTTAAAACATATCTAGGTATTATAAATGATAAAGAATTCTAATATAGATATAAAATCGATATTTTTTTGAAAATAGCCTACTATAATCGAACCAAAAATGCTTTAAATTGCATTTTAAAACATATCTAGGTATTATAAATGATAAAGAATGCTAATATTTATAAAATCGATATTTTTTGAAAATAGCCTACTATGATCGAAACCAAAAATGCTTTAAATTGCATTTTAAAACATATCTAGGTATTATAAATGATAAAGAATGCTAATATTTATAAAATCGATATTTTTTGAAAATAGCCTACTATGATCGAAACCAAAAATGCTTTAAATTGCATTTTTAAACATATTTAGGTATTATAAATGATTAAGAATGCTAATATAGATATAAAATCGATATTTTTTTTTGAAAATAGCCTACTATGATCGAACCAAAAATGCTTTAAATTGCATTTTAAAACATATCTAGGTATTATAAATGATAAAGAATGCTAATATTTATAAAATCGATATTTTTTGAAAATAGCCTACTATGAACGAAACCAAAAATGCTTTAAATTGCATTTTTAAACATATTTAGGTATTATAAATGATTAAGAATGCTAATATAGTTATAAAATCGATATTTTTTTAAAAATAGCCTACTATGATCGAAACCAAAAATGCTTTAAATTGCATTTTGAAACATATCTAGGTATTATAAACGATAAAGAATGCTAATAAAGATATAAAATCGATATTTTTTTGAAAATAGCCTACTATGATCGAAACCAAAAATGCTTTAAATTGCATTTTAAAACATATCTAGGTATTATAAATGATAAAGAATGATAATATAGATATAAAATCGATATTTTTTTGTTTTAAAAATAGCCTACTATGATCGAAACCAAAAATGCTTCAAATTGCATTTTAAAACATATCTCGGTATTATAAATGATTAAGAATGCTAATATAGATATAAAATCGATATTTTTTTGAAAATAGCCTACTGTGATCCAAACCAAAAATGCTTTAAATTGCATTTTAAAACATATCTAGGTATTATAAATGATAAAGAATTCTAATATAGATATAAAATCGATATTTTTTTGAAAATAGCCTACTATAATCGAACCAAAAATGGTTTAAATTGCATTTTAAAACATATCTAGGTATTATAAATGATAAAGAATTCTAATATAGATATAAAATCGATATTTTTTTGAAAATAGCCTACTATGATCGAAACCAAAAATGCTTTAAATTGCATTTTAAAACATATCTAGGTATTATAAATGATAAAGAATGATAATATAGATATAAAATCGATATTTTTTTGTTTTAAAAATAGCCTACTATGATCGAAACCAAAAATGCTTCAAATTGCATTTTAAAACATATCTCGGTATTATAAATGATTAAGAATGCTAATATAGATATAAAATCGATATTTTTTTGAAAATAGCCTACTGTGATCCAAACCAAAAATGCTTTAAATTGCATTTTAAAACATATCTAGGTATTATAAATGATAAAGAATTCTAATATAGATATAAAATCGATATTTTTTTGAAAATAGCCTACTATAATCGAACCAAAAATGGTTTAAATTGCATTTTAAAACATATCTAGGTATTATAAATGATAAAGAATTCTAATATAGATATAAAATCGATATTTTTTTGAAAATAGCCTACTATAATCGAACCAAAAATGGTTTAAATTGCATTTTAAAACATATCTAGGTATTATAAATGATAAAGAATGCTAATATTTATAAAATCGATATTTTTTGAAAATAGCCTACTATGATCGAAACCAAAAATGCTTTAAATTGCATTTTAAAACATATCTAGGTATTATAAATGATAAAGAATGCTAATATTTATAAAATCGATATTTTTTGAAAATAGCCTACTATGATCGAAACCAAAAATGCTTTAAATTGCATTTTTAAACATATTTAGGTATTATAAATGATTAAGAATGCTAATATAGATATAAAATCGATATTTTTTTTTGAAAATAGCCTACTATGATCGAACCAAAAATGGTTTAAATTGCATTTTAAAACATATCTAGGTTTTATAAATGATAAAGAATGCTAATATTTATAAAATCGATATTTTTTGAAAATAGCCTACTATGATCGAAACCAAAAATGCTTTAAATTGCATTTTTAAACATATTTAGGTATTATAAATAATTAAGAATGCTAATATAGTTATAAAATCGATATTTTTTTAAAAATAGCCTACTATGATCGAAACCAAAAATGCTTTAAATTGCATTTTGAAACATATCTAGGTATTATAAACGATAAAGAATGCTAATAAAGATATAAAATCGATATAATTTTTTTAAAAATAGCCTACTATGATCGAAACCAAAAATGCTTTAAATTGCATTTTAAAACATATCTAGGTTTTATAAATGATAAAGAATGCTAATATAGATATAAAATCGATATAATTTTTTTAAAAATAGCCTACTATGATCGAAACCAAAAATGCTTTAAATTGCATTTTGAAACATATCTAGGTATTATAAACGATAAAGAATGCTAATAAAGATATAAAATCGATATTTTTTTGAAAAAAGCCTACTATGATCCAAACCAAAAATGCTTTAAATTGCATTTTAAAACATATCTAGGTATTATAAATGATAAAGAATGATAATATAGATATAAAATTGATATTTTTTTGAAAATAGCCTACTATGATCGAAACCAAAAATGCTTTAAATTGCATTTTAAAACATATCTAGGTTTTATAAATGATAAAGAATGCTAATATAGATATAAAATCGATATAATTTTTTTAAAAATAGCCTACTATGATCGAAACCAAAAATGCTTTAAATTGCATTTTGAAACATATCTAGGTATTATAAACGAAAAAGAATGCTAATAAAGATATAAAATCGATATTTTTTTGAAAAAAGCCTACTATGATC